TCACCAGACCCAAGGGCCTTGGTGCACACATCAGCAGTGTTGGCCCGCGAGGCCACGTAGGAAAGGCGGAGCTGACAACGCTGCTGTAGCTCACGCGCAAGGAAGTAGCGAAGAGCAATGTGCTTCGTTCTGTGCTCCAGTCTCTGCTCGTGACACAAGGCAAGCATTGCCGTGTTATCGACGTACAGAACTGGAGGAGAACGAGGCCGCTCCCCCAAGTCAGTCAGCAGGTAGGTCAGCCAGCGTAGCTCCTGTGCAGCCATGGCCCCAGCGTAGATCTCGGCCTCACAGCTGGAACCAAGCACAGAAGAAGAACGAGTGGACCTCCACGAGACAGAACCAAAGCCAAGACTGAAGGTGTAACCCTGTGACGAACGATGAGTCGCCTGGTCGTCGGCCCAAGAAGCGTCGGAGTGTCCGGTGAGTACCACTGAGCCCTGTCCTCCAAGCACTAGCCCCATGCCCGATGTATTGCACAAGTAACGCAGTACCCTCTTCGCAACATCCCAGTGCACCTTTTGGTGTCTACCGAGAGCCACATAGCGAGCCAGTAGGCTGAGAGGATACGCGAGGTCGGGTCGTGTGCACGTCATCAGGTGCATGAGGCAACCCACAAGCTCTGGGTACGGACCACTCGGCTCTACGGACTCGTCCGAAGGTGGAGCTGAGAGCGAGTGGCCGGTAGACAGAGGAGTGGACTGTGGTGAGGAGAACTGGAAGCCGAAGCGCTGAAGGACCCGGTGCACCATGTGTGACTGAGTCAGGGTGATGGTGCGCCGTGCTCTGTCCCGGGTGATCTGCAAGCCAAGATAGCTACGCAGCTCACCCAGGTCAGTGCAGGTGTGTCTCTCCTGCAGCTCCGCCTTCACTAGGGCCAGTGCCTCAGTGTCAGAAGTAGCAAAAACCAAGTCGTCCACGCACACTAGAACGTAGAACGGCGGCAGGGTAGTGTCGGTGCGTAGAAACAGCGACGGGTCAGCAGTAGAAGGAGCAAACCCAAGAGCCGCAAGTGTAGTCCTCAGTGTGTCGTGCCACTCTCGGGGCGCCTGGCGGAGACCGTAGACTGGCCGCCGGAGGCTCCACTGGGTACCTGCAGGAAACGACCCAGTGAAGCCAGGTGGGCAGCGCAGCCAGATCTCCTCGTGAAGGCTGCCCTGCATGAAAGCTGTGGAGAAGTCGAGGGAGTGCAGCTCATAGTCACGCTGTGCTGCAACGTGCAGCAGCACCCGAAGAGTAGTCATCTTCGGGGTGGGGGAGAAGATCGGGAAGAAGTCGACCCCCTGACGCTGACTGAAGCCTCGAGCAACGTAACGCGCCTTGAAGGCGGGCGGAGAACCCAGTGGTCGCTTCACTCTGAAAATCCACATGCCATCGACTATGTTCGCCCCAGGAGGAGGAACCTCGTCGACGTAGGTGCCTGTGGACTTCCAGGAAGCCATCTCTACGTCCATGGCTGTCTGCCACTGAGAGGAGTACTCACCCGCAATCGCCTCAGCATAAGAGCGCAAGGTAGGGATGTCAAGTGCATCCAGGTCTCCCTCAGGGCAAAGTAGCATGGATGCGAAACGAGGTAAAGCGGTCGCAAGACACTCAATCTCAAACTGTCTGTCCTCAAGGACTTCACTGCTAATGGCAGGCTCACCCCCGACGGACGGAGGACAGACAGACTCAGGCTCAGTGGCAAGACTCGCGGCGTAGCCGAGACGACTCCTAGCTGCAAAGTCGACTAGCTCGGAGACTAGGGCAAACGCTGCAGTAGACACAAGGTCAGGGTCAGTGACGACAGTAGCGAGGAGACGAGTGACAGTAGGACTGGCAGCACGAGCAAGGTCGGACTCAGGTTCAGAAACGTGCGGTAGAAAGGACGCGGGAGGCTCAGGTAGGACAAAACACTGTGGAACAGAGGAAGGCCGAAGTGCCATACCGTGAGTGCCTGGGATAGCAGGAGGACGAGGACGGGCGACACGACGAGCACGAACAGGTGGAAGCACGAGTCTCAGGCTCACGACGCTCAGTCAGGGACTCAGTCACCTCAGTGTGCGGAGCAGGAGCAGGTAGCGAGGAGCCATGCAGTAACTGTGGCGGAGACTGGTCTCTCGGTGAACACAAGAGAGGTGGAGTGAGGCCAGTGGAAGACGGGAGACTAAGAACCTGGCGAAGGACCGAGTCAGGCGGCGGCAGGGACGACTGCGGTTGCGGGTAGAAAAACAATCGGCGCGGGGCAGAACCAGCAGCTCCAGCTCCTCCAGTACCAGCAGCACCAGCACCTCCAGCACCAGCAGCTCCAGTAGCACCTCCAGCACCTCCAATGCCAGTAGCTATAGTAGCACCTCCAGCACCTCCAGCACCAGCAGCACCACCAGCTCCGGCAGCTCCAGCACCTCTAGTACAAGCACCTCCAGGACCAGCAGCTCCAGCACCTCCAGTACCTCCAGTACCTCCAGCTCCAGTGCCTCCAGCACCAGCAGTACCTCCAGCACCTCCAGTGCCAGCAGCTCTAATAGCACCTCTAGCACCTCCGGCACGAGCAGTACCTCCTGCTCCGGCAGCTCCAGCACCTCCAGCACTAGCAGTACCTCCAGTACCTCCACTGCCAGCAGCTCCAGTAGCACCTCCAGCACAAACAGCACCACCAGCTTTGGCAGCTCCAGCACCTCCAGTACGAGCACCTCCCGGACCAGCAGCTCCAGCACCTCCAGTACCTCCAGCTCCAGCGCCTCCAGCACCAGCAGCACCTCCAGCACCTCCAGCACCAGTAGCACCTCTAGGACTAGTAGCTCCAGCACCTCCAGCACCAGCAGCACCTCTAGTACCTCCAGCACTAGCAGCACCTCCAGCAGTACCTCCAGTACCTCCAGCACCAACAGTACCTCCAGGACTAGCAGCTCCAGCACCAACAGGACCGTACCCTCCACCACCAGGACTGCCTCGCCGAACGATCCACGCACGAATCGCCTGCGGCGAGAGCGTCTCAAGTAGGCCAGGCTGCGGTGGCTGTCCAGCTCCAGGACCTCCAGTAGGGTCACTCACAGCTCCACCGCCACTAGGACTCGCAGGACCCCCAGAGTCAGCACCCCTAGTCACAGCACCCCAAGAAACAGCACCCCAAGAACCCTCACCCTCTGTCTCAGCACCCCCAGGCTCAGCACCAGCAGTCTCAGCTCCAGAGTCCACAGCAGCAGGCTGCGGAGGCGGCGAAGACGGCCGAGACGGAAAACCAGGGGGGGTCTCCAAGCGTGGAGAGCGGCGAGTGGCCGCCGTGTCGTCACCGGCAGGGTCACCCCCCTCAGCTGGGCCAGAGGATTCAGAAGAGACCTCCAAAGGCTCAACCAAGGGGGGTGGGTCTACCTGAGACACACCTGAGGGAGTAGGACCCTGTGGGGGGAGGGGGTCTACCGGGGGGGGACTGGTACCAAGAAAAGAGGCGCTAGGGGGACCGGGTGGGACGCATTCGGGTGGAGCCTGTAGTAACAGACAGACTCGTCAAAGGTGACGTCCTGGGAGGAGAAGACTCGACGCGAGCGCGGGTGGTAAAACTGCCACGGCGGGGCGTCGGTGGGGAAGCCAAGGAAGACGCAGCGGAGAGTGCGAGAGGAGAGCTTGTTCGCTTTGGCATCGCGAACAAGGGAGAGCGCGCCCCAGACCCGAAACACCAATGCATCGCCAACCTTCCCCGTCGACCGGAGTGTGGGCGAGGTCTCTGGCTCAGAGACACGGGGCCAGAGGTTGAGCTGATGCGCAGCGTATCGGACCGCAAACGGCCACAGAAAATGGGGAGCAGCCGCATGGATCATGGAGGTACGAGCAACCTCCATGATCAAGCCAATGCGACGCTCAGCAATCCCATTTTGCTGAGGTGAGGCCGGAAGCGTGAATGACTGGACGATGCCCTCGTCTCGACAGAACTCTGCAAGGAGGTCAGAAGAGAACTCACCGCCCCTGTCAGAGTGCAGGCGCAGGACTGGGAAGTCCTGACTGAACCGCTCGCGCAGCTGGCGACGAGTAGCACGGATCCAGGGGATCAAAACACCGCTGACGTCCGCCTTGCGCCGCAAGGGGAAGACAGTGGTATAACGTATGTAGTCGTCAACAACCAGCAGGAAGTAGCGCTCCTGGTCCGTTCCACCGACGGGGGCTGGGCCCCAAACGTCCATGTGGAGAGTCTGCAGAGGCGTAGTGGTCGGAGGAAACTCGGAGGAGTGAGGAGCGGCGCGCTGCCGCCCCTCGACGCAGGGAAGGAACGGCGGAGCAGGCGAGCGCGGGAGGGAGGGCAGGGACCTATGAAGGCCAGAGACAAGGAGATGGGAGTACATACCGCGGAGACGCGGTAGGGAGGGGTGACCGAGGCGGTGGTGCCAGAGGAGAGTCTGGTGGGAGAGTACCCGACACGAGCAAGACGTTGCAAGCTGACCAGACGCAGACACCTGACTCGACGCAGCCACCTGACCTGCCTCACCCACCTGTGCAGACGCAGTGGTCAGTGTGTACATACTAGACCCAGGCCGTCGTGTGAACGTAGGAAAAACGGCCTGCCTAGGGGCGCGATTTGGGTAGGAAAAACGGCCTGCCTAGGGCCGCGATTCGGGCAGGAAAAACGGCCAGCCTAGGGGAGCGATTCGGGCAGGAAAATGGGCAAAACGGAACTAACGGTGGGCCCTAAACGAGTGGTCCTACAGATGGACCTGCTCTGAAACCATGTCGAGAGAACTGTGCAGAAATGATTGGATTAACAAGAGTTGGGGTACAAGTACTAACCCTAAAAATGTTGTACCCCACAAAGAGTGCCCCACTATAGCCTACAAGTAAGATTGTACTTTGACACATAGGCCTCGGGATATATCTGGGAGATGACAGTACATACCGGTAGCATTTGGGGCTTGAACATGACTAGTGCCTAAATCTGAATAAGAACAATAAAACTGCTACCAACTTAAAAGCTGCAGGTACCTATCGATCCTTCACAGACATGTGATGTGTCTCAATGCCTTTCCTAGGTAACCCTAACAGAAGCCACCCTTCGCTTTTGTGGGTTTCTTCGTGTCCGAGATCACGATGTTTGCCTTGGCTTGTTGCTGTCCAGTTGATTAGGGTGGCGTAGGAAACAAGGAAAAACACAATAGATTAAAAGAAGGAACCATGCATGCCCATCACATAAAAGCACAATGACAAGAACCCTTCAGCCTGAAGACATAAACAATGAATGCATGAAGGATACTGCCTGGTCCAACGACTCTGCAACAACCTCCATCCCCTCACCCACACAGCCATCTGCCAGACCCATACGAGGAACATGCGGACTGGACAATACATGCACCGCAATAGTATCCTTCAATATCTCACAGTAGTCCAGCATACCTCTGGTCGTTCTTCCGCACTCTCTGCCAGTCGTTGTTTGATGTCGCGGGCAATGGTGAAAAATACATTGTCCACATTCAAATTCGATTTGGCGCTCTGGTAACACAAAACAAAATGCAGAGAAATGAATCGGGCATGTAAAAACGGTAGTTGAAATTGTAAAAAAACATCACTTGTTAGCGATTTCAGCTTCAGAAAAACTTACCGCTTCAAAAAACTTTATATTGAATTCATCTGCTAGTGCTTGACCACGAGCAGCAGGAACAGCCTGTCAACGGACCAGGTCAAACGGACACAGACGAGCATCAGCATATGCAACACAATATTAGCAGGGCAGTACTATCTGCTTTTGAATTCTGGTAGGCAATTGAAAGCCTTCCCATGAGAAGTTACATAAAATTTCGGCTTTCATTTCAAAGCAATCAGTATGGGACGAGAAACAAAACTCACTCGTTTGCTTTCGTCCATGTCCGCCTTATTTCCTACAAGAATCTTGTTGACATTTTCTGACGCGTGTTGCTCAATGTTACGGATCCAGTTACGGATGTCTGCAACCAAAGTGAAAAAGCGTCGACACTTGAGTTCCAATCGGAAACCGTGAAGTGCAGCATGCGGACAAACTTCCGACAGACCAGGATCAAAACACATGAGAAGCTTACTGTTGAAGGACGACTCGTCAGTGACATCGTAAACAAGGAGAATGCCCATAGCTCCTCGATAATAAGCTGTAAAATCAGGCGGAATAACTTGTAATCAAGGAAGAAATCATGATAGACAGCAGACGGGATAGAGCGGCACAAATTCGAGCTGCTCTTGGGAGGCTAACCGACCTGTTGTAATGGTGCGGAACCGTTCTTGTCCAGCAGTATCCCAGATTTGCAGCTTAATTCGCTTGCCATCGAGCTCAATGGTTCGAATTTTAAAGTCGATTCTGCAAAGATTTGTCAGCACAAAAGCAACGCAATAACCACACAAAAATATCGTGATTGAGAACGCGCCCATGTATATCTAAAAGTCCGCGCATTGTGTGAAAATTCACCGACTATCAGCTGGTTAGGGTTGGGGACATACCCAATGGTTGTGATGAAGGATGTTGTGAAAGAATCGTCTGAAAATCGCAGCAACAGGCAACTCTTTCCGACACCTGAAGTATCACATAGTCAAAGGTCCATAGAGTAGTGAGAAACTGTATGTGCCTGTGTCTGTCTGCCTAGCGTGCACATCTACCGTATGTTCGTGCGCACATGTAAGACTTGTATAAACGAAAGGGACTAGAATATCGCAGCCGGCAAACTCGATCGACCAGAGTTGGATAAGGGGAAAGTGATCGAAAACGTCAACGTGCGGGCGTGGACAACACAAAGTTCACGGAGGTAAATGAAGTCTCACCAAGACGGCCAACAACATTGAGGATAATTTCGACTACACACGCGGCGACAAAACTAGGCGAATTAGGATTCACGCAATGCCTTGAGATACTCCAATAAGGAAAGTATCATACGAGAGGACAGCCACCACAGACTTTTACGACCACACAAGGTGTTGCACTGACCGCTGTCACCGATGAGCAATAGCTTAATGAGGTAGTCATAATCGGCTCGAGCCCTCCCGCCGCCTCCTCCGCTCGCCATCTGACTCTAAGATCGCAACCCACTGCTGCTTTGACCGAACGCGATACGGCAAACAAACTAGTGTGAGGCAGTTCACCTGTAAAATACTGAATTAGAGCGGAATCGGTTTACCGCAACGTCGAGCGACTTAGCTACTAATTACTTGTAGTGCTGCCAGATCTAGTAATACTGCTGGGAAAGAACCCTAAAGGTAAAAACAGTATTCTCAGCCTTTGTTATGGCCGGGGCCTGCAATGGCCTATGGCACTTATTCGAGAAGGTGAGCCTTAGCCTATGACACTTCCGCTTGAGACCTTGCTGGTAACTCTCCAATCAACTACTATGCAGTTGGTGAGACCCAGCCAGGGGCCGAGAGGATGGCAGGAGTGACAGGCAAAACCCTGGAAGGATGAGGTGGGTGAAGGGGGCGATGGAGGGGGGGTGGGGAGGGGGGGGATGTCCATGGTTGAGCTGCGATACAGGTTCGGGGAGGTGGGTTCGAGATGGGTTCAAGGGTTTGCCGGAAAGTGATCAGGGAAGTGCAATGACGATCTTCTATATTATGTTACACTTACAACAGGCAGTCTGAGAATTTGTTAAGAGCTGTATCAGAGGGTGACTAACAATTGTCTAGCGATAACATAGCAAGAACCCTAGCTAGGGCAAACATATAAGTTTCTGTTAACATTTCTCTAGGAATGGAGGATATCGAGCAATGGAATGTTCGAAGTTACAACTAGTAAGTTATCGAGCAATAGAATGTATAAGTTTGAACGAATAGATGTAGGCTGTAGTTGTCAAAACATATAAGTTTCTGTTTACATTTCTCTAGGCTACATTGGGGCTATCTTTAGGGGGTATAGGAACCATCTCGATACTTAGCTTGTTGTTAGAATCTTACGGGAGAAGTGAGTGTCGACTATCGAGGGAAAAAATACAAAGGTGAAACCTAAGGGGTTGTACCCCACAGTGAGTACCCCACTAAGCCTAACCAACCTATAACATATATACACATATGTTTGACACACCCCCATAGGCAAAGTGGGGAGAACAGAGGGTCACAAGACCAATCAGGAAGTGCAAAGCAAGCTCAGGGTGGATCACAACGTCACCACGCAGTCTGAGCACAAGCAAGAAGGCCACAAGGCCAGTTCACATGCAGAAATATATATGTAACAACAACAGTACAGTGATATCTACCTACAAGAACAAGCATGCAGGAATACATATAAATCATGGTACAAACAAAGCCTACAGCAAGTGAGGAAGAGTGGGCACAAGGCCTAACAAAGTGCAGAAACGCTGATGATCACCAGGCGGAAGCGCCTTGGTGAATATATCAGCAGTGTTGGCCCGAGTGGCCACGTAGGTAAGACGAAGCTGGCCAAGCTGCTGCAGCTCTCGAGCAAGAAAGTAATAGAGAGCGATGTGCTTCGTTCTGTGCTCCAGTCTGTGCTCCTGACACAAGGCAATGGCGGCCTTGTTGTCGACGTACAGCACTGGAGGAGAACTAGGCCGCTCTCCCAAGTCAGTCAGCAGGTAGGTGAGCCAGCGAAGCTCCTGTGCAGCCATGGCTGTGGCGTAGATCTCAGCCTCACAACTGGAGCCGAGAACTGAAGACGAGCGTGTAGAACGCCAAGAAACTGAACCAGAGCCAAGGCTGAAGGTGTAACCCTGTGACGACCGCTGCGTAGCCTGGTCGTCAACCCAAGAGGCGTCCGAGTGACCAGTGAGGACAACGTCACCCCGTCCACCAAGCACGAGCCCCATGCCCGATGTACTGCACAAGTAGCGTAGTACCCTCTTGGCAGCATCCATGTGCACCTTTCGGTGCCGACCAGGAGCCACGTAGCGAGCCAGAAGGCCAAGAGGGTATGCAAGGTCAGGACGAGTGCAAGTCATCAGGTACATGAGGCAGCCCACTAACTCTGGGTAAGGACCACTCGGCTCTACGGACTCGTCCGAAGGTGGAGCTGAGAGCGAGTGACCTGTAGCCAGAGGAGTGGCCCGTGCTGAGGACCAGGTGAAACCGAAGCGCTGAAGGACCTGCTGCACCATTTGTGACTGAGTCAGTGTGATGGTGCGGCGTGCTCTGTCCCGGGTGATCTGCAAGCCAAGGTAGCTGCGTAGTTCACCCAGGTCTGTGCAAGTGTGTCTCTTCTGTAGCTCATACTTCACCAGGGCGAGAGCCTCAGTGTCAGCAGTGGAAAAGACCAAGTCGTCGACGTACACGAGAACGTAGAACGGTGGCAGCGAAGTGTCGGTGCGCAAAAAACAGCGACGGGTCAGCAGTCGACGGAGCAAACCCAAGAGCTGCAAGTGTCGTCCTCAGTGTGTCGTGCCACTCACATGGCGCCTGGCGGAGACCGTAGACCGGCCGCCGGAGGCTCCACTGGGTACCAGGAGGGAACGACCCAGTGAAGCCAGGAGGGCGGCGCAGCCAAATCTCCTCGTGCAGGCTGCCCTGTAAGAAGGCTGTGCTGAAGTCAAGAGAGTGAAGCTCGTAGTCACGCTGAGCGGCAACCTACAGCAGCACCCGAAAAGTGGTCATCTTCGGGGTGGGGGAGAAGGTCTGGAAGAAGTCAACTCCCTCTCGCTGACTGAAGCCTCGAGCCACGTAACGAGCCTTGAAGACAGGCGGAGAACCTGGCGGTCGCTTCACCCTGAAAATCCACATGCCACTGACAATGTTCGCCCCAGGAGGGGGAACCTCGTCGACGTAGGTGCCTGTGGACTTCCAGGATGCCATCTCTACGTCCATGGCTGTCTGCCACTGAGAGGAGTACTCACCCGCAATCGCCTCAGCGTAAGAGCGCGGGGTAGGGATGTCTGGTGCATCCGGGTCTCCCTCAGGGGCAAGCAGCATGGATACGAGATGAGGCGCAGTGGCTGCAAGACACTCAAGGTCCTCCTGCCTGTCCTCAAGGACGTCCATGCCAAGAGCACACTCACCCCCGACGGACGGAGGACAGACAGACTCAGACTCAGCAACAAGACTGGCGGCGTAGTCTAGACGACAGTGAGCAGCAAAGTCAACAAGCTCAGCGACTAAGGCAGACGCAGCAGCAGACTCAAACGACGGGTCAGTGACAACAGTGGCAAGCAGACGCGTGACAGTAGAGTGCTCAGCACGAAACCGGTCAGACGCAGGGTCAGCAACGACAGGCAGAGAGGACGCAGGGGGAGACGGCAGAGGAACACGACGACCGGAACTGACAGGGGAGACAGGACGCGACACAGGCTCACGACGCTCTGCAAGGCCACCAGGCTGCTCTGTGTACGGAGAAGGAGCAGGCCGCGGTGAGCCAGGTTGTAACGAAAGACCAGTAGACGAGGGAAGACTGAGAACCTGGCGAAGTGCAGAGTCAGGTGGTGGCTGAGACGACGGAGACGGCGGAGCAAAGAATAGGCGCGGCTGAGCAGTGCCACCAGCAGCTCCAGTACCCCCAGCAGCTCCAGCACCTCCAGCAGCTCCAGCACCTCCAGCAGCTCCAACACCTCCAGCACCTCCAGCAGCTCCAGTACCCTCAGCAGCACCACCACCAGCCCCAGCAGCTCCAGTACTCCCAGTACGAGCACCTCCGGGACCAGTGACACCAGCAGAATAACCTCCAGCAGGAGAGCCCTGAGGTGCAGAGGTGGTACGCCGACGGCGACCGTACCAGTCGTGCAGCTGCTGGCAGGTGAGGGGCACACGCGGACGAAGACGGCTACTCCAAGGAGACCGCGTAACAGCAGTCTCAGAACCCTCAGGCAACTCACCCCCAGACTCAGCACTCCCAGGCTCCGCACACACAGGCTCAACACCCCCAGACGCAGCACCTCCAGACGCAGTACCTCGAGACGCAGCACCTCCAGGCTCCACACGCTCAGCGCCCCCAAGCTCCGCACCCCCAGGGACAGCACCACTCGCAGCAGGACCGGAGTCACCAGTGACCTCAACAGGCGCAGGCGCAGGGGGGTCTACCTGAGAGACACCTGAAGGAGCAGGACCTGGCGCGGGGAGGGGGTCTACCTGGGGAGGACCTGGGGCGAGAAAGAGCGGCGGGGGGGGGGCGAGGAGCAGTGCGGTAGGGGAAGAGGCGGTAAAAGGGGACCGACTCGTCAAAGGTGACGTCCTGAGACGCAAAGACACGGCGCGAGGCGGGGTCGTAAAACTGCCAGCCAGGCGCGTCAGGGACAAAGCCAAGGAAGACGCAAGGAATGGCGCGAGGGGAGAGCTTGTCCGCGGTGGTATCGCGGACAAAGGCACGAGCACCCCAGACCCGGAAACGCGACGCGTCGCCAACCTTCCCCGTCCACAGCAGTGTGGGCGAGGTCTCCGGCAAGGAGACACGGGGCCAAAGGTTGAGCTGATGCGCTGCGTACCGGACCGCAAACGGCCACAGAAAATGGGGGGCAGCCGCATGGATCATGGAGGTGCGAGCGACCTCCATGACTAAGCCAATGCGGCGCTCAGCAACCCCATTCTGCTGCGGAGAGGCCGGAAGCGTGAAAGTCTGGCGGATGCAGTGCTCCGCACAGAAGGCTGCCAAGAGGTCTGAGGAGAACTCACCACCTCTGTCCGAGTGCAGACGCAGGACAGGGAAGTCCGACTGGAACTGCTCGCGGAGCTGGAGACGAGTAGCGCGGATCCAGGGGATCAAAACATCAGGGACATCCCCCTTGCGCTACAAGGGGAAGACCGTGGTGTAGCGCGTGTAGTCGTCGACAACCAGCAGGAAGTACCGCTCGTGGCCCTGTCCACGGACGCGGGCTGGGCCCCACACGTCCAGGTGGAGAGTCTGCAGTGGAGCCTCTGTGGGAGGGAACGAGGAGGAGTGAGGAGCGGCGCGCTGCCGCCCCTTGACGCAGGGAATGCAGGGCGGCGCAGGCGAGGGAGGGAGGGGAGGAAGAGACCTGGGAAGCCCAGAAACCAGGAAGCGGGAGTGCATGCTGCGTAGGCGAGGCAGGGATGGGTGACCAAGGTGGTGGTGCCACAGGAGAGTGTCGTGCGACAGCCGGCGACACTCACACTGTGT